GTGGGTGGGTGTGGGTGTGGGTGTGCGTTCTTGGAGTAATGGAGGGCACATGCGGCTCAATAAACCATTCGCAATGGCAGCAAACTGCACGACCTGCCTGTTTGCCTAAGAGCATCCCCCCCTTATTCCACCCCCTGGGCAGCGACTGCAACGAGCCCATGGGGCGTAACTCCACGTCGAAGCAGGCGATGTGGCTGAAGGGTGCCCTCGCTGCGTCAGACGCACCATTCAAGGTGAAGTGGGTGTGCCTTGCTAGTGTGCGGCTTGCGCATCATTGATTTGACTGCCAGTAGCTTGCTTCACATGCAGCTTGAAACAGATGTCATGTTGCGGATGCCCTTTATGCTCACCGATATTGACAATTGCGGCCCATCATATTGCCCCGCGATCCCCCACACTAGCTTGTTCTGCTGCACCACGCGCCTTGGGCATCTGCCTTCCACGGCCCAACCAAGGTCACGCAGTGGTGAGTGAGATGCCACAGTGCAGCCGAGTGCAGTCAGAGGTGTCAAGAGGGACCCACAGGTTGGAAAAGCATGGGTGCTAACTAGTGCCTGGTCCAGCCAGCTCTGCTTAGCCCGCTGTGACAGCGGCGGCCGAGGTGTGCAAAGGCAAGGCCGTCAGCATGTGTTGACAGCGGCTGGTCTGCAAGAGCCCTACCAGGGTGGCAAGGGGGGTCAAACAACGAGGGGTCGCGTTGGCATGTGCAGTGTCTCTTGAGAAGATGACAGGAGGAGCGCCTGAAACCAACCCAGTGCTTATCGCCGTGCTGACTCACCCCCCTCAATACACCACTAGGCCGTATGAGGAGTGGGGCGCCGACGTCGTACTGGCAGGCCGTAAGCAACTCACGCGCATTGCATGTCGATATGCTCACGTTGGTCTTGATGCCTGCACGCAAGTCACCTTGAGCAAGTTTGCGAGTGCTTTTGCAACACCAAGCTTGTTGGGCCCTGGGTTCCGCCTCTTGACCTTTGTCCCATTTTTGGCTCCCTCTTGGCCCCGGCCCCCAGATGACCATTCCTACGAGCGGCTGCACAACCCCCGGAGTGTTGCAGGGAAGGAGGGGTTCCCCTACATTGTGAATGGCCTAGGTAGGTTGTTGCCGGGATCGACCTGATGTCATGTATCACAAAGGGCCACGGCTGAACACAGTGTGATCCGTTGTGCCATCCCCTGCCCAGTCGCGGCAGTCCCCTGCCAGACTTTCCCATTGGCCCCACACACTGCGCAGGAGGTTACGGCTTCCACAGTTTCACCCACCTCCAGGCGTCCTCTGTTTTGCGGTACAACCAGAAGTATGGCGCGCAGCTGCTAACCAGCGGCTTGCGGCCACTTGCGGGCGGCTCCATCGAGCACACCCTTGACATGGCTTTCTATGCGGTTTCAAAAGCCACGCAGACGGCGATTGACTGCTACCGCATCACAAAGGTCGTCGGCCCCTCAGCAGGCAGCACCACCAAGTACAGTGTCTGCGCAGGATGATGTGGGTGCTGGTTGCTGCTCCGTGGTGCGTACTTGTTGGTTGGTGTGAGGTAGGGTCACTACAAATCTGCTGTGCTTTCAGCTGCTGGAACTTTTTGGACACAAAGGCCAGATCAATGGTGCATATGGAGGGGTGGGGTTGCTCAATGGTACAGCAATGTTGCTGCTTGATTGGCCAGCCATTGCGTGCTGTCACAGCAGAATCGCTGCCTTACTTGCGCTTCTGCCTGAAACCATCCTCGCATCATGACAGGCGTATTGCAGAAAGCAACTGCTGCCTGCCGGCGTGCACAGCTGCGCGGCACGCCGTGAGAAGTGCTGCGGAGCAGCTTGTGTCACCGCCTGCAGTCCAGCTACATCATCACCGCCACCTGGCAATAGGGCGTAGGCCAGAGCGGTGTTGTGTGAGCGGCCAAGCGCCAACAGACCTGTGGAAAGGCGCAAGAATGCTGCAGCTGGCACTGGCGAAAATAAGAGTGGTGAGGGATCAGGCGCTTATACTCAATTCACACATAGCCGGTATTGTTCACTTCTGAGGCAAACACCTTGGGCATGAGCTTAGCATATATGCATAGTCATTCAGAAACGCCACCAGGCAGTCGCACGCCTGCGGTTTGCGTGCACAAATGCGCTAATAAAATATCATGCAAGGTTGGCAAGGCAGAGTGATGCTCATGTGCGTCAAGATTGTTGTGCGACATGTGCTGTGCATGCTTTTGACGTCCGCTCCAAGGCAACATGTGTTTTGCAAACCCAGATGTCATGGTGCCAGGACCATCAACTTCTTTTGTTATTGTAAATGATGATTGTCGCTGCGCCCCGTTGCAATCATCTCCCTGTTGCCGGGATGATTCATCAGTGTCTGTTTGAAGCGGCAGGCAATCGACATCACATGACCAAAGATTTGATACACCACCCAGCAGTTTGTGTCACACAACCGGGTCCCACGCATCAGCTGTCAGGAACTTTGTCTGACATTGATTGCCTGGCGCTTTGCCATGTCAGCGTGTTGCCCGTCCAACGAGCTGCAACACCACCTTGAAGGCAGCTATGGTGCCTTGTACACTGTGGCGCCCCAGCACAGTAGAAGGCGGCGTATGGTTGATTCGTGCAAGCGAAGCCCTTTCTGCGGCATAATAAATACGGAATGTCAGGCAGCCTCCCAGCCGTTGGGCCCGCATGTCCCAGCATGCTTCTTGTGAGGGCTGGAACGTGCCTGTGAGCGCCCGTCGTCCAACACCCAACCCACATGCGCGCGCTTTGGCAGGCGCCGCACCTTTAACATGCACAAGGCTTTTTAGATCCACCAGTGTGTGTAGCGTAGTCTCACCTTGTACAAGCAGGCCAGCATTCGCTGGCGCGGCCAGGCCCAAGCGCAAGTATCCGAGCGTCGCTGTGGCAGGTGACGGCATGGCTCGATGAGTCACGAAGTCAAGCTTGCGAGCCATAATCACTGCTTTTTTCGCAGAAAGTTGAAAATTTCGAACCTGTAGTACCGTATGCTGCTGCCACCTCGTCGCGCCTAATCCACCAGCCACCCGCGGTCCCCAGCCACCGAGGCCAACCAAGTCCGTCACGCCATCTGAAAGGAGCACAAACAAATACATCAAAGCGTCAAGAGCAGCATCGTCTGGAGGCATGGCCAGGCACCGTATAGCGGCGGCAGCAGCAGCTGCCAGACCGCTGGTGCTGCTGCTGCTCGTGCTCCTGCTCCTGGCCAGCGCCGCTGCGACGCGCCTGGCCATCATTGGCGACTTCGGGGATGACAGCAGCGGCGAGTTGGATGTTTCCAACATGGTAAAGGCCTGGGAAGCCACATCACCCCTGGTGAGCCACCATTGAGGGCTGGAGCCGACGTCTTGGGCACGGCGTCAGCACCAGAGACCCCTGGAGCCGCCAGATGCCTGGGATCCGGCCCTCTGGCTGGCTGCATGCATGGCTGGCACACTCTCAAGCTTGCTCACACAGCCGCACATGTAACATTGTGCTCCCGCCTGGGGTTGCCAGCCCAGCCCTCCCGTGCTGCCCAAAAGCGAGCAGGTGCACCCACCCCTTGGCGCCTGCACAACCCCAGAAGGCGATCGCCACCGTGGGGGACAACAACTACCCGTCTGGCTTAGCCACCACAATACAGGCCAACATTGGGAAGTACTATGGGGCCTACATAAAGGACGACCCCGCTGTCAACAAGTTTTGGCCCTGCCCCGGCAACCATGTGAGGGGCTGCGCCTGAGCCAGCGCTGATAGCAGTGTGAGAGGTAGCCGGGCGGTGCAGTTGAGCGCCGGATGCGCCGGCAGCGTCTGGCGGGCGCGAGCTCGAGCGTGGCAAAGAGTGATGCAGGCGCTGCGGCCGCGACGCACACGCGCCCCTGGTTTCCACCCGTGAGGCCGAGGGATTGATGGTGCCTCACCTCACCAAACGCATGACAATGGCAGGACTGGGGCAATCAGTGCCATGATGGCACGCGCCTGCAGCCCTACCTCAACTACTTCAAGGCGTTGAAAAACAAGCGCTACTACGACGCCAAAATAGGGGCCGACCTGCACCTCTTCATGCTGGACTCCGACTGCAACGAGCCCGATGGCCGCACCGCCAGCTCAGCGCAGGCCGCCTGGCTGCAGGGCGCGCTCGCAGCGTCAGCGGCAGCCTTCAAGGTAGGGTGCGCGCGCGTGTGTGTGCACGTGCTTGAGTGCGCAAGGGCGGTGCAGGGCAGTAGATGCTGCTGCGGGCGTGCAATGGGCGTCCCGCTGGTCTGCTTGCAGCATGTCGCGCAGGGGTCGTCGGTGCTGTGTGGGGCCGGTTGGTCGGTCAGGGAAACGCACGACCCCCACCAGCCCCTGGCCCCTGTATTTTCCCTGATAAGTGCGCAATCGCACTGCGAAGCTCCCAATTGTGGCGCCGCTGCCCCTCCTCCGTAGCTCGTCCTGCTGCACCATGCGCCCTTCTCCTCTTCCTCCCGCCACGGCTCCAACAAGGCGACACAGTGGTGCGCGGCATGCCAGCCGCCAACAGCAGAGTGCAGCACAGCACTACAGAGCACCACACAGCGCAGCGCAGCACTGTTCAGCGCAGCACAGCGCAACGGCGCTCATACGCGAGACGGCGCTGGCAAAAACACAAAATTGACACACCCAAACGATATATTGCAGTCGGCCCGGCGCGTTTCACTTGATGCTGCTGCTCCAAACTATACGTTCTCTCTATTTTCTCCCTGTTGCTTAACCCTGCAGGCCATATGAAGAATGGGGCGCAGACGCAGTCTTCGCAGGCCGTAAGTGCCCGTGTGTGCCTGTGGTGTGTGTCGGTGCAGTGCGTGCATTCAAGCGTGAGCACGTGCGTGTGCGTGTGGATGCGAGCGTGCCGCGTGTGCGCACGTGCATCTGCACATTGGTGTGCTTGATTGTGAGCTCACGTGGCCGTGCCATGCTGTACGGCCTGCACATCATTGTGTTCGCCCCTGCTCCACCATCACTGATTGTATGACTGTTGTTCGCCCACCTTGCTCCTCACCCAAACCCCTGCGCCCTTACCCCCAGACGATCACACCTACGAGCGTCACTCCAACCCCAGGAACCTGGCTGGCAAGGCCGGGTTCCCCTACTTTGTCAACGGCCTGGGTGAGCCATGAGACACATGGGTTTTGTGGCCCCCAGACCAAGGAATTGTTGTCACAGTACAGCACGTTGGCTGGACAACTGCCCTTGCATTCTAGCAGATGTGGCCGCACGACACAGTTGCGACTCCAGCTGGGGTTGCAAAGGCGGTTGCAGCACCTCCCTCCCGGCGCCTCTTATTGGCCGCGGCACACTCCCAGCAGCGATTTGCACTTCCGTCCAAGCCCCCCTGCCGCTCCTACCCTGCCAGACCCCTCCTTACTGCGCATCTCAATCCCGCCCCTTTGTTCCAAACCCCAACCCCAACCTTGGCCTTGTGGCGATAAGGCGGCAAGGACATCTACGGCTTCAAAAAGGCCCTACCCTCCACCCAGTTCCGCTACAACGCCATGCACGGCGCGCAGCTGCTGGTAACGCGGTCGCGTGCGGCCGCCGGCGGCGGCACAGAGTTTGAGCTGGACTTGACGTTCTACAGCTCGGACGGGACGGTCCAGGACTGCTACCGCATCACCAAGGCGCCGGGTGGGACTAGCTACACCACGGGCAGCCCCGCCTGCCCGGCCGCGGGCTTGCAGCAATTCTCGGTCCTGACCAGCGCCGCGGTGCCGGTGGCGCCGGCGGCGCCGACGCCCGCCAAGGTCTGGAGGTACCTCGGGACTGGCAAGAAGGCGCTCAGCCTTGGAGGGTCCAACCCCTGGACCAGCCTCGGATTCGGCGACTCGGCCTGGACGAGCGGTCCCAGCCCCCTGGGATATGGGCCGGGGCTGGTGTGGGGCACCCAACTGCCTGCCAACGCGCCGAGCTCGGGCACTGGGTACTACCACTTTAGGACGACCGTGTGTCTGCCGGCAAGCCTCATCACGCAGGTGCGGTCTGAGTGCGTGTTGCGTGTTAGACCCTTGATCGAGGGTCGCGTGTGCGTGATGTTGCTGCGTCGGAGTGGCGCTCGCGGGGCCGCCCACCTGTACAGGGCGGTCCACTCATAGGCCGCGCTGGCAACAGCTGTAGACACGTCCATCCTTCCCGCTTGTCGACACCTGTGTGGCTTCGCTCTGCTGCCATCTCCATCGCAGCTGGGGAGCGCCGTGACCCTCAAGCTCGCCAGTGACAAGCGCGCCAAGGTGTGGGTCAACCGTCAGCTCGTGGCTAGTGAGCCCTCAAAGGCCGGCCACCCCGCCAGCCACTGGAACCTGCAGACCGCCCTCAAGCCCGGCGCCCTTGTGGCGGGGCCAAACGTGATCGCGGTGCAGGTGCGTGGGGTCATGCGGCCCGCGCGGCTGAGTGGCGGGTTGGCCGGCGTCGTTCGTGCTGAGCCTGAATAGCTCTCGCCGCGGCTTACGGTTGTGAGCCTCGCAGAGAAACCCCAGCTGGCGGGGTTGTCGCGGGGAGCTCGGAGCAGGAGGGCCCCTTCCAATCCCAGCTCGGCTGTTTAAATGGTGTGTGGCATGGCACCTGGCGCCATATCTATGCAGGTGGCAAACACGGCTGGCGCGAGCTCCACGGGCTTTGACCTCGACCTGACCTACTTCAGCACGCAGCCCTTCACAAACGCATCCACGGTAGGTGCCTGGCATGATTAAGCAGCTCTGGATTGAGGAACGCGCCTCGCCTGCTGGGGTCGGCGTGATTTGCGCGGCCTGCTGCATTGTGCTTGAGGCAGAGCGTTTGATGTGTGCTGTGCCAATTGACCTCAACCGTACCATCTCCATGCACTCAACCCTTGCAGGTTTGCTCTTGAAGTGCCTGGCTTGTTGCACAAAGACCAGGCTACACGCTTTTGCTTACAGTTGTGGGGCAGCCCGAGCCAGCACCCGCGCCGGCGGGGTTGGCTGCGGCCGATTGTCGCAGCTTTGTTGTCAAGGCTTGCTTTGATCCCACACGTCAATTGACCCTCGCAGGACTGGCACACAAGACAATATCTTTTACGCATTTCATCAGCCTGATGTGCTGTGAACGCTGTTCCATCTCATCGCCCTGTGCGGTCATCAATGGTTGCCCGGGTTCAAGGCTCCACCCATGAATGAGCTTGCTGCAGCTGTGCCCATGGCACAAGTCCGCCCACCCCCATCCCCATCACCAACTGCAATGTGCATGTTGGGGATGGCCGGATGGTGTAGGGTTTTCAAAGTGCCTGTGTACAGCTGACCCTCGATACAAAAAACCTTGCCATATGTGATGAATTGCATGGTCGCCGTTGTTCAGGCCCAGTTCCACATCATACAACTTTTGAGGGTGGCCTCCTGGCTGCATGTGACGCAACACACCAGAGGGCCTTCTTCCGGTAGCGCACGTGGCATGCCGCCTTGCGCAGATGCCAGGCACCCTCGATCCTTAGTCACTGCTCAACCCCCTAGTCGACACTGCACTGATCACCGACTTTTGTGGCACCTTGGCAGTGTAAGAGGTGGGTGCAGCTCAAAGGGATACACACAAGACTGCGGCGGATGCCACAACAGGGTGCTCAGCGGCCCCGCGGGAGTCTGCGCATGCAGGCCCTCGCGGCCTGGCATCGCCACCACAGCTGGGTGACCCTCCTGGGTGACACAGCTCGGACGCCCGGGGGGCGCGTGTCATTATTATTCAGTTGTATTTCTGCGAGTAACGCGCTGCCTTGAAACTGAAAGCACGTGCCCCATAAACGCGAGTGTGCAGGACTAGCACCCGAAGATACTCACCGTCACGGGAGACACCTTCGCCTAGACAGTTATCGCGTGATGCATGCGGGCATTGGCCTGAGCAAAGCGGCCCGGCCAGGCAGCGCGCCGACCCTCGCGCCGTCGCGCGCTGCCACACCAGCGCTCGCCCCGCGAGCTGCAGCGCTCCAACATCACCACGCCCGCGCGGACGGCGGCGAGCCCCTGCCCGTCGCCATGGACATAAAACCGGCGCCGGGTGACGAGCTACATGGCCGCGCCACACCGATAGACGCCCGCGGCGCTGCGCCCGCGCCGATCACGCCGGCAGGCGCGGCAGCGGGGCTTGATGACCCCCAGAGATGGGAGACGCTGTCGCCACACTCCAATGTATCCCATGCCTCCAGCTTGGTGCCGCCCATGCCGCTGTTCAACGCACAGCTGCAGCG